ATATATATATATATATATTGTTTTTCATACCACCATTTTCGTTTTATCTTCATTTTTCATTTTTTTTTGCCCCATATATATTAATTTTCACTTATATATCAACTTATTCACCTATGTTCAAGCATATTAAATGTGCAAAAAAATAATTATATAATTGTATAACCCCTTATAACTTCGCTTTAATGCATAGAAAAATACAATCTTCAAACTGTCAATGCTTTTTCCTTTTTAATTTTTTTTTTCACATATATTTTTAATAGATAAGTATATAAATATGATAATTTTTAAAATATGTGAATATCATTAAAGAGACTTTAAAGCTTTCTAAAGGTAAATATGTACAACTGACAATGGAGCTTATGACATGAATTAAGATATACATAACAATAGTTATAATTTGCAAAATTATTTCTATTCAATATTCATAATAATACTCTAAAACTTTTCTAATTATATAACAAATTTCATTGAGTTCAATATAATCATTTAAATACAAAAAATGCTCTAAAAATACCAAATTTATGTTGAAAAATCAAAACTTTTATGTTAATAGGATAAGTACAATCTATTCTATAATATATCAAAAGCTATATGCATGATAAAAAAATTATAAGCATCCATAAATTTGAATATAATTAAAATAAACAAATAAAATATCCAAAAATTATCAAAAATATCAAAATTAAAATCAGTAATTGGGTAATAGTAGCCATAATAATATTTTGTGTTTTAACAAGATTTTTCAACAAGAGTTATTTCTATGCAATATCCATAATAATATTTTGAAACTTTTATGATTATATAACAAATTTTATTGAGTTTAATATAGTATTTGAATACAAAAAATGTTATATAACAAGTTAAACTAATTCTATAATATGTCAAAAGTTATATAAGTAGCAAAAATTTATAAATATTTGTAAATTTCAAATTCATTAAAACTTAACCAATTAAAATATTTAAAATTTATCATAAATACAGAGTGGTGTAGTAGTAGTCCACATTGGCACTACTAAAAAAACATTTTAACAGCATTTTATACATGCAATCACAATGATAAAACCTCTGTTATTTTGGGTGTAGCGGATTTTAGATCGCTGCAAAGGCTTTTAACAACAGTATTAAATATTTTTATGCGCATTTTAAATATTTTTTAGGGGTATCTTTTAAAAATGCCTTCAAATTAACAGCGTAAAAAAAAACTTTTTTAGTAGTATGAGTAGGATAATTTTCTTAGGGTCCGTTTGGGGCAGCTTATAAGTGCGGGCGGCGTTTTGAAAATGCCGTCGTACCGTTTGGTTCCCACGTTTCGCCAGTTTATCCGAAACTGCGTTTGAGTTTTTACACTAAGCAGTTTATCCTAAAACGCACAAGCTGCCCCAAACGGATCCTTAGCTAGTCCGACGAAAAAAATTAGCTCTATGTACTCTAACTTTATAAAATTTCACTTTTCACCTCCTCTTTTCTCTTGGCTTAGCCAAAAGAAGAGATGTGATGTGGAAATTCACTTATGCAAAGGATTTATATAAAATTTTATAATAAATTAAATTAATTCAAGGACACAATAATAAATATGTCAATTATTATATGTTTAAATAAAAAAGAACATATAGAAAGATCTCTTGTATCTTCAAATATATTAATTCAAATTTATAAAAATATAGTTTATAAATAGTGTTATAAGAAAATAATTAGCTGTGTTATATAATGCCATGAAGAAAACATATATAAATCAAACATAAAATAAATAAATAAAATCAAATACAACAAGGACAATTATGTTACATCAAAATTTGGCATGAATCAAAGTTATAAAAAATAGACAAATCAATTAGAAATAAAACCAAATCAATGACTCATAAGAAATAATTAAACACATAATAAATACGAAAGTTTTGCTCGATCTTAAATCAGATCATCACACTTATATACAACATGAACAGCAGTCAAATCGTATGACAATGATTGAGAATTTTCTTTCCTTCTGTTTTTCTTCTTATTTGGCTTTGTTACTAGATTATATTATATTATAAAACAGCTCAACAATCTTTGTGTCATTAGTCGTGGCATGTTGGTAGAGTAGTCTCTTTGAAGGTTGTAAGTCCGCTCAAGTCACGGGTTCGAATCCCCCTCTGACCAGTTTCCCGGTAATGAAGGTTGTCCTCGAATATTTCGGCGCACGAGGGTGTTTGGGGGCTCGTATAATAGCCTTTGGTCATTCTCTAAAAAAAAATGACGGCTCAACAATCTTATCCTCTTGATTTAAGGAACATAGCGAGGCAGAGAAATTTCATAGTCCTCCAAAATAAACAATAAAACTGGCCTAAATTATATGTAACACACAATTGGGTTAACCTTAGTTGTGGTAGAACGAACCATACATAGTTTGGTTTTATCGTGATTAATGGAAATAGAGGGGGAAGAGTTGGAGCTACAAGCAGTAGAAATGCGGTCTAAAGGTGGGTGATGGGTATGGAAACGATTTTGGTCATTGATAATAACATTTGGCATATAGAATGAATTTGGAGGTGGACATGAAGCTAGACGTGACCCTTAAGGGTGTGGTGGTTAGACTCCCGCAACGACTCTATTATTTGTCTGTGTCGGAGCAGCGGGATTATTGCATCAAGACACTGGACGCAAATATGCGTCCGGAGTCCAGCGGGCACTTGCCATGTGGCAAATGGGCCCCACCCCTAATGCACTGGCTGGGTGGGTTTTTTAGAGAGGCGAGATTCACTTGTCACGCGGCATACTCCCAGTTACTCCAGACAAATTCGGATATAATAATTTTTTATCGGAGCACAATTTTGACATTCTTCCTTTATCAACAGACACAAGAACGTTGTTATTGAGGGGGCAAGCAAAGCCATCACACAATTGAAAGAGACATGCTAATCCGCTTTGGTTTCAAGTTATAGTGAATTTCTTATTTAAATTTCAAACTATTATGATTTATATGAACGTAATCAAGAAGAACCAGGGCAGGGGAGATCATAATAGGGACTCTGATAAAAGTGAGAAATTTTCTTAAGCAGTTTAGATTATCATTAGCCACGAGGATTAACACTTTAATTATCAAGAACAAAGATAGAAATTAGAAATCTAATCTAATATGGTATATGCAAATTTTTTGTTCTTAATGGGTCTGAAATTTCGGGTCTATTTTTTTAGGGCGACGACAAATTCATGCTCAATAATATTTACAGACTTGAGGTTGACGACAAAGTCATGAAAGTAACAAGGGGGATTTATCACATAATTTTTACATATTTGTATATTTAAACTTTGATATATACTTTTATAACTTTGTTGTATCTCAATCATATAATTTAAGATAAAAAAAAAAACATGAAATGTTAATGTAGGAATGAAGAAATTAACATTAGTGGTGTTTTAATGTGATTTAAATTTTTGAATGTTATAGGTGTTAGGAGCATTTACACACACGGCACACAATTCTTATATATTTACGCATCTATACCTAAATTTCATATTTACATATATTACACTCGTGATTTTAATATTACATTAAAAAAATATCACAATTTATGTATAAATTTATGACACCTTGAATGTCCAAAAAAAAATATGAAAGTTTAGATGCTAGAAACATAAAAACATTGGAATTGTGTGATGTTTATCAATCAAACACCTAAAGTGTTACTTTTTACACTGCTACCCACCACAACAAACTTCAAGACTAAAAAATAACCCCTTTTCCATCCCGTTTGGAATCGTACAGGCATTTTGCGCCGTCTTCGCCATCTGCGATCTCTAGTCGCCACTCCTCATAGTACCAGCCATGATATATATATAGATCAAATTTTT